GAAACCACACTGATCAGTCACTCATTCAGATATTGATGAAGAAGCACTGGCAGCTAAAATCCTCTTCATCAGTTCTTCACCAGATCCATGAGGCTGGGCTCCATCACACCAGGTGAGACCCCAGGTGCAGGCTGTGTAAAGATGCCACATAACAGCAGGCTGAAGGGTGTGTCCCTTTACTGTGTCTGTTGTAACTGAGTGGATGTCTGTTGTTGTGACGCAGTGTGAAGATGAGTTCCAAGACTCAGGACTGCTGTGGTGGGGGCACCTGCTCACCCCCTCCCTCAGAACAACACATCACTCACGTAGGCATCTCGATGGAGGGTTGTGGGCGGCGTAGGTCACAGTCGGTAGGGCCATTCACGTAGCCGTGCTGGCTGTAATGCGGCGAGCTGGCCCTCTTTTTAATTACACTTTACTCATGATCTGGTTTTATGAGGCTTACAGTGCTGGTGCTGAAGAACAGAGCAGAGTGTAAAGATGTCTGAACTTTAGGAGCAGGGGTCCACCTGCCTCAGGCGAGCGTCTGGAGGAGCCTAACCTCAAAGATGAAGATCTGCATAGTTACATATATCCAAATCCCTCTGAAAAACAAAAACTTATGATTTATTTAATCCAGGTAAAAAGTCTCATTGACATCTCTGCTCTCAGAGGCCGGGCCTCTGTTGGCATTCTCATTAGAATTACTTTGAGTAAACGTCCCAAACATGTAATCACCAATAATGGTTCATAGAAACATTCATTTGATGTCATTTAACATGATTAAAAAAGTCGCTCTGATGATGAATTCCACTGTAGAAACAGGCTCTAAAAACAATTTCATGACATTTTATTGCCTTAATTTCCTAAATGAATGTATTTACAGTTTTACAGCACACACACATCTGTACTGTCAACATGTTAAAAACATCAGAGCAACATTTCACCTGATGACAGCGTTCAGGACTGTTTGCTTTTTTTGTATTCATGTTTTCAGATTGTATTACGACTAACAGTAACACACACAGCTTTTCACAATAATTCAGAATAATCTCGACATATGCGTGTTACATGTTCCCATGAACATCTGTGCTGTGCAGACTGTTCCTGACAGCAGGACATTCAGGTGAAGCTACACCGGTCCGGCCTGCTTCTGGATGCTTTGGGTTTCTCCAGTAAGACATACGTGTTGTTGACGGGCTGTGAAGAACCTGTGGATCATAAACATCATCAGTCTGAGTGGGTTGTGTGTAACAAACACAGCTGTGCAGGTTTGGCGTGTTCACCATGAGTTTGTGTAAAATGAGG